CCCCTCTCCTCTCCTCCTCTCCCCTCCCCCTCTCCTCTCCTCTCCCCTCCCCTCCTCTCCTCTCCTCTCCTCTCTTCGCCAGTCTTTGAAACTTTTCTCTCTCTTCCCACATTTACGTCTGCACCATAGAGAAGGCAAGAACAGCAAAGCCACCCATTTTAATAAACTCCATTCTCTGTTGCTCAAAGAATCCTCTCGATTTCCGCACAGTTCTCAGACTTGAGACCTCGCGCCCGCTCGGGTTCCTGCCAGGGCCCTGAAATCATGGGACGGTGATTTTAAGTCTCAGCGATGTCCTTAAGGAGAACCGTGAAGTGTTGACTTAACACCGTCGCTGCGAATTCCTCCACCCGGCGTCCGTACCCCTTTGCTCCAGGTAGCAGCCAAGCAAGGGCTGAAAGCTTGCTTCAGAAACACCTGCTGGGGAGGCGAACACCTGCTTTTCGCTGACCTCATTCAGGCGTCCAAAGACGGCGGCTCGCAGTTCGTAAATCCAGCCCACTCACCAGTCCCCGTCTCACACACTGCATCAGAGGGCTCCTTTGCACATTTCTTCCACCCAGAGTTTCTGGCAAAGGAAAACTTTGATGTTTTCGGAGAGCCTGGAAAACCTGGATCGCATGCTATTAGTGGCTGCCTTTTACAGCCATAATGGCCGGGGAGGACTTATTTCTAAGTGTGGAGAAACATATTGTCACCCAAATATTAAACAAGGGCTGTGGAGGGATGTTATGAATTAAAACATAAAGGGAGAACCACAGGAAAATTCAGTATTTGGATATCTTAACTTACGGGAGTTATTGAGAGCCAAAGAAACCAAAAGACAAAATCCTTGGCTTTTCAAGAATATATCAAATTCCTACAACCCTAAGGTCAAAAACCTTTCATGGAAGGGTGAGACATGAATCACACTATTAAGGAGTAAGCTGGTGGCAGGCTAGAAATAATCCTTTTGGAATTCGTACACCGCCGACCACAGGGTGTGGACACAGGGCTGCGGGCCAGGAGGCATATTTAAATCCCTAGCGTAGCTCTCTATGAACTAAGACTCGTGGGGCTCACGCCAGCCTTGTTGCATCCGATCTCTAGGGAAGGGATCTGAAACATGGCCAGGTTTTAAGCAGCAGCTTGGACTGCCTAACCCGTGGGGAGAGCAAGCCATGACAATGAGCTGCAAGCCACCATGGGGCTGGCGTGGTCCAGGCGTGGTCCATCTAGGCTAGCCTGAAGACTCAGCCTGACCCTTTGGCTGCTGGCCACGGTTCCAGTTTGCATTGCACCTGGGACCGGAGATGCGCATGCCCACAGTCGTGAGGGCCAGGATCACGGATTCAGGCTCGCTCTCTCTCATCTCCTTGCCTTTGGATTTTTCCGGGGACGTGCGGCTCAACTCCCCTATAAGGGACAGGGCTAACACCCTTTGTACCTAGGGACAAACTCTGCCCTTCCCCTCACAGATGATCCGGGTCCTCCAGGAGGTCTGGCTGAGGACAACTCAACATACTGTCCTCCTGCTCTTCTCCTGTCCCTGGACCTTTGCACGGGTGGGTGTTTTTGCAGTGCTCTGTGAAACTGGACAGAAAAATCTATACAGCGTTTTCTAGTTAATATTCTATCTAGGTCTCAGGGCCCACACTGTCTACCTTGGATGTCATGACTTCCCCTCACCAAAGAAAGAGCCATTGCTCTCACTGTGGCCAGCATCACCAAAGATTGCTGGGGTAGGTGGCTTCAGGCACCGTGCTGGGCTCCACTCACACATGACATTGTAAGTGTCTGTTCATCACAGCTCGGTGAAAGAGTTTCTGTTTTTATCCCCGTTTACAGATGAGGAAAGTGAGGCTGCATCATAAACAGCCCAAGCCGAACTCGGGTTTAGGTTTGGTCTGATGTTGAAGCGTATACTCTTTACACGCTAAACGATGGATCAAGAAAGGTTCATTCCTGGGGCCAGCGCTGTGGCCTAGCAGGTTAAGTCTGCCTGTAGCGCTGGCATCCCATATGGGTGCCGATTCAAGTCCCAGCTGCTCCACTTCTGATCCAGCTCTCTGCTGTGGCCCGGGAAAGCAGTAGAAGATGGCCCAAGTCCTTGGGCCCCTGCACCGCATGGGCGACCAGAAGAAACTCCTGGCTCCTGGCTTCAGATTGGTGCAGCTCCAGTCTTTGTGGCCATTTGGGGAGTGAACCAGCAGATGGAAGACCTCTCTCTCTCTCTCTATCTCTCTCTCTCTCTGTAATTCTGCTTCTTAAATAAATAAATAAAATCTTAAAAAAAAAAGAACGATTCATTCCTTTGTATGGCTGAATTGCATTCCATTGTATACACACCACATTTTCTTCACCCATTCATCCACTAATGGGCATCTAGGTTGATTCCATACCACGGCTTTTGTGAAAACCGCAGCAATGAACATAGGAGCCCAGGTATCTTTTGAATGTACCGACTTCATTTCCTTTGGATGTATACTTCGACATGGGATAGCTGGGTCCTATTGGTAGATCCTGCCATCTGCAGCAAAATTAATGGAATTGGAGGTTATTGTGTTAAGAGTGAAACAACCCAGGCACAGAAAGACAAGTACTGCACGTTTTCACTACCAGGTAGAAGTGGAAAAGAACAGTTGACTTGAACGTAGAAGAGTGATTAGCAGAGACAGGGCAGGGTGGGAGAAGGGGACATACAAGGACTTGAATAAAGGGCATCAGAACACAACTAGACAGAAATGATAGGTTCTCACATCCCCTGTGCAGTGGGGCAGCTGTAGATGGCGATAATGCATTGTGTATCATACAAAGAACCGGAGGGGAGGAGCCAGTAGGCGCCAGAAATGGAGGAAGGGTGGAGAGCTGGAGACACTGAGTGCCTGGTTTGATAGCTGACACTTCACGCAGGGATTGAAATAGCGCTCTGTGGCCCATTAACAGTGTACAGATAGCGCATGTTAGGGATAAAAGTCTTAATAAATGAATAAAGAAGGACTCAAGCATTTGTCTAAATACAGAGGAATGCCCAGGGTGAACATGACCAAGTGTTTTGCTGATTGTCTTCTGGCTTGGTGATTAGATTTCCAGGGCTTCAAGCTGCCTTTTCAGGTATTTGGGGACACAGCCCCTCCTTATAAGAAGGCAAGCTGGGCCACCAAACTAAACACAGGTGACATGTGTTCCAAAGAATGCAGTGGCCTGGTTAAGGCCAGCTCATAGTCCGGGTCATTTAATAGCTTTTTCACCCCATTTAACAAGTATTTATTAAATGACTACCATGTGCACGCTACAATAACACCCTACGCTGCTCTACCTGAAAATGAAGCCATAGCCAGAGGATGTGGGATAGGGACATGGCTCAACTGCATGGACCCATTGCCCAGTTTTCCCCCAGGCACAGCTCATTGGAAGGCCAGATGTGAGTGACCCTAAGTTTATTCTGTAGTCCACTCACTATTTCTGGAAAACCCTCCCCATAGATATCACCCCAAAAAGAAAAATTTCCTCTGTCAAATAATTTCGGAAGCACTGGGTGGAAATGAAACCTTGGAAGTTTTCTCTACTGAAAGACTTCTCAGATTTCCTACTCAGTGACTGAGAGGTGAATCCAAGAAGCAGTCAAGAGTGTGAACAGTTTTCCAAACATCTTTGTGGATTTTCCCTGGACCTTTCCCCCATGGATGCTCACGTGATATTTGTGCTCTGCAGAACTCATCTTGAGCCGGCGCCGCGGCTCACTAGGCTAATCCTCCGCCTTGCGGCGCCGGCACACCAGGTTCTAGTCCCGGTCGGGGCGCTGGATCCTGTCCCGGTTGCCCCTCTTCCAGGCCAGCTCTCTGCTGTGGCCCGGGAGTGCAGTGGAGGATGGCCCAAGTGCTTGGGCCCTGCACCCCATGGGAGACCAGGAGAAGCACCTGGCTCCTGCCTTCGGATCAGCGCGATGCGCCCGCCCCAGCGCGCCGGCCACAGCGGCCATTGGAGGGTGAACCAATGGCAAAGGAAGACCTTTCTCTCTGTCTCTCTCTCTCTCACTGTCCACTCTGCCTGTCAAAAAAAAAAAAAAAAAAAAAAACACTCATCTTGAGAGATGCTGATTCAAATACAACCGCTCTTCATCGACAAGCAAACGCAGTCAGACCTGGGTACCCAATTTTTTTTAATTGTTTATTTATTTTTATTTGAAAGGCAGAGAGAGTGATAGACAGAGATTTCTTCCCCAACTGTCTGCAAGAGCTCCAGGCTGAACGAGGAGCCAGGAACTCAACCCAGGTTTCTCACCTACTTGAGTATGTGCACCTGTGCCTCCCAGGGTGCACATCACCAGGAAGCTGGAATCGGAAGCAGAGCCGGGACCTGACTCCATGCACTCTGACACAGGATGAGGATGATGCATATGACTTTGCCTTGATGACCTGTTTCCAACCAAGAAGTATTTATTTATTTATTTTTCCCCATGAAAGCCATTTGCCTGGCTTTCAAATCGTTATCTTTGGAAATCTATCACTCCTCTGCTACCCCTCTAATCCAATTATGTTCCTTCAATGATCTATACATCATTTTTTTTTTTATGAACAACTTTCAACTGAATACCGGTAGGTGTCTAAATATTGCTACGGATGGGTTTCTTCACAGTGGCCCAATCAAATGTGATCCCTGAATTCCTCTTTGGAGGCCTCTTGATTTCTGAGCACTACTTATAAAACTGATTAAAGTGACTTTGGTTTTTTCAGGAACTCATAACTCACGTTACACTGTAAGGATGACAAGGACAAAAGGAGAGACACACTCAGGGAACCACATCTAAAGAGGAGTATTTTACTTCGGACGACATCTGAGCGCGTAATTAAAGAAGCCGTTGATGAGATACACACAATTTTGAAAATTCTAATGCGATGGAGTTTTCGGTTCACTTCTCCCGCCCCTTTTGGAGGTTTTATCTCTGGAATTCAGGAACAAAACATATGCCTTTTGCTTCATAAGACTTCCCTTTAATGGATGATAAAGGTCGGTGATTAATAATCGCCAGTCTCTGATTGTTTTCATTAGAACGATAACATATGGACACGCAGCTCAACCTCTTTCCAGAACCCTGGGATGGGATCATAAAAGGAGAGATGAGAAATTCTGGTTTAGATTAAAGCAAATGGTTTGAGGACTCGGCCCTGATGAGCTACAATTTACTGTTCTCAAGGCGCACAGAGAGGAGCCTCCTGCACTTTTCTTCTCTGGGGCTTGAGCTGGAGGAGAGGGTGAGGATTGAGATCTCCAGCCGTCTGGATTCCAGTGACGTCAGTTACAAATGAGATGGGTGTGTGGGTGGGCCTCCACCAATTCCCAACAAGCACTTAACCGTAGCCTCAAATCCAACGCGCATTTGTCATTATTAAACCTCACTGGTTCAGCGAAGGCCTCCGGCGAGATGGGGACTGGGATGCCGAGGGAGAGAGAGAAGCAGGGGAGGTGTGGGTGTACAAAGAACGGAGTGATCAGAGATAAGGAAGTTAACTGTGGCAGAGAAAAGCTTTATGGTACCAATGTGAATTATGCTGGAGAAGTTGGACAAGGAAGGGGGGCGTTAGCAATTCAAACCTTACCTTTATACAAGGTGACGCTCACGGTGGGGGAAGACAATTAGTATTTTGAGTGCCTGTGGGTGCTAGATGCTAGGCTAGGCTCTTAGATATAATGCCTCATTTACATTTTATAAGAAAGGGCAGGCCGGCGCCGTGGCTCACTAGGCTAATCCTCCGCCTTGCGGCGCCGGCACAATGGGTTCTAGTCCTGGTTGGGGCGCCGGATTCTGTCCCGGTTGCCCCTCTTCCAGGCCAGCTCTCTGCTGTGGCCAGGGAGTGCAGTGGAGGATGGCCCAGGTGCTTGGGCCCTGCACCCCATGGGAGACCAGGAGAAGCACCTGGCTCCTGCCATCAGATCAGCGTGGTGCGCCGGCCGCGGCGGCCATTGGAGGGTGAACCAATGGCAAAGGAAGACCTTTCTCTCTGTCTCTCTCTCTCTCTCACTGTCCACTCTGCCTGTTTAAAAAAAAAAAAAAGAAAGAAAAGAAAAGAAAAGGGCAGTCGACATGATGATTTACTAAATAGACCTGCTTTCAAAAATCTGTGAGAAAATAAGACAACACACATTAAAATCTTAGTGGAGTGTCCGAGGCATAGTGAGCAAAAAATGTCTCCCCTAACCCTTTCCACCTTCAGGCAAACCAAAGCCTCAAATGAACAGCAACAGAAAACAAAACCCACCAGGATGAGCTGCGTGTCAGTAGATACTGTTCACACATAGGAGGTCCAAGTGTTTTCCGAGCCCTTGTCCAAAGACCTCTGTGTGTTCATTCTCTCTTCTCTCTCTGTCCAAACCTGAGTTGCTACACTGCCTTGCAAACTGGCCATTCTCCTGAATTTTTACTCTTACCAGGCAAACATCATTTTTCCTATTCTCAGAACCAAAGCTGGACGTTCATCCAGGTCCCCCATGCACTCAGGTCCTAGTCAGTAAACAGACTTACTGTCCCATGAATTCAACTATGGCAGATGGTGTTTCCAGGGTGTCTCTTCTCTTCTCCACTTCTTTCAAATAAATATTTCCAATATACATATTTATGGGATACAGTGTAATCATTTGCTGCACGCATTCCATATGTAAAGATCAAATCAGGTTAGTTAGTAGTTCCACCTCCTTCAACATTATAAAAATTGGATTAACACCTAGCAGTTGTGCGTATTTATGAGCGACAATGTAATATTTCAATATATGTCTACAAGCATTGGTAATCAAGTCAAGCTATTTAGCAAACTGCCTTGTAAGATATAACCAGTGGGTTCTTTCCTAATTTCATTCTTACAATCCTGTATATTTCTTGCTCAGAATGGCTCAACAAATGTCAACCTGTTAGTGAAGTGTCTTTTTCTCTATATTATAAATATGGAAAGTTATGTAACTTGTCCAAGTTAGTGGCAGAGCTACGATTCAAACTATATCTGCCTATACCTTTTCTTTTCTTTTTTTTTTCTTTTTTCTTTTTTTTTTTTTTTGACAGGCAGAGTGGACAGTGAGAGAGAGAGACAGAGAGAAAGGTCTTCCTTTGCCGTTGGTTCACCCTCCAATTGCCGCCGCGGCCAGAGCGCTGCGGCCGGCGCACTGCGCCTATCCGAAGGCAGGAGCCAGGTGCTTCTCCTGGTCTCCCATGGGGTGCAGGGCCCAAGCACTTGGGCCATCCTCCACTGCACTCCCGGGCCATAGCAGAGAGCTGGCCTGGAAGAGGGGCAACCGGGACAGAATCCGGCACCCTGACCGGGACTAAAACCCGAGGTGCCGGCGCCGCAAGGCGGAGGATTAGCCTAGTGAGCCGTGGTGCTGGCCTCTGCCTATACCTTTTCCTGCCTCATGCTGAATAATAATTGCCTTCTCTTCTCTAATATGACTTTAATTGTTCCTTTAATGCCTGGTACTCATCACATTCTTCCTCGGATTATAACATCTGTATATCTATGTTATCTTCTCTCCTGAACTAAAGGGACTCTGGGAACAGAATCCATTTATTTTGCATCTCACAGTCACCATCACATCATGTAAAGCAGAGTTGATAAATATCTGTTGAGTTGCACAACAACCCAGCTGAACAGTAAACTTGGAAGTTTAGTAAAGTCAGTGCCTGTGGTTCAGCATAATTACTGTTCTGTGCCTAATGGGAACAAAAATGAGGTGTCTCTATCTTCAATAAGAACCTGGAAACGATAGTGTTCTTTGAGCAATAAATCATGTAAGAGTGGATCAAAGCGGAAACACTGAAGTCATAATTGCTCCCAGTCAACTTGGTTTCATTTCAATCCAAAGGAAGGCATTATATGTCTAAAGAAGTAAGGAGCGTATGTTTCCCTTAGAAGGGCATTTCTTTGGGTCGCTGAGACTAAAGGGATTATCCTGGTTCTCCACTACCATATAAAAATCTACCCTCAAAATTTCATGGTGTAAAACAGGTTAGTATTATTCCCCCATGATTCTGTGCGTTGAGTGTGTTCAGATGGTTTCTCATTTGGTGATTCTTACACAGCTGCGAGCAGATGCAACACGAGGTTAGAGTCAACTGAGCGCCCATTGAGTCCAAAGACTGAGAAAATTCATTCAAAGACTGGCAGCTGGTGTCAGTGGAGAACTTGACTGAGGTTGGTGACAGGCACACACACATACGACGTTCCCAGTTGTATGATGGGTGTGCAGGAGTGGCCAGTTGTTGCAAGGCTTCTAATGACCCAGCATGAAAAGTCACAGAAGTAGCATCACCTCTGCATTCTGTTGGTGAATCAAGACACCAAGGCCAGCAACGATTCAAGAAAGGGGGAATTAGCATCCACCTGTTGAGTGAAGAAATAGCGTGCATGAACAGGAATGGGATGGGTTGATAGAGACACTTCTGTAGAGAGCTACCTCAAAGATGGAGAGTAAAGACATCAAGTGGTCAAGAGTTCATCTTAGGGAGACCGTTCTGTGGCTCAGGGACACTGTTATCTATTCCAGTGGCTGATGACTATCCCTTGTTCCTTTGCAAAGTTTTTATTCACAACTTTTCTGTATCCAAGTTCAACCAGAAGCAGGGAATGCATCATAAAGACAAAGAAGAGAGAGCATATGAAAACAAAGGTTTCACTGGACCCATGACGCAATCTCAACCCTTACACAATCTCAACCCTTACAATAGCTTCAAGTGAACAGATGGCTTTTCATGGGCCTGCTACAAGGAGAGACTCTGCCCTGCTTGTAATCCTTTCTTTTTCTAGACTCTCACCTGCTGCCTGTGCCTTGCCTTCTGAAGCAGTTCTGAGTATTCTCCTTGATGCTCACGCGTTTTAATCTCTCCCAGTGGTTTTGTTTCTCCACCCAGGCCCTGTGTTTGAACTGTAAACCGATTTCCCTTCCAAGAAACCCATCTGACTCTTATTATTCACCCTTTCAACATCTTGTACTGTAGCAATTACTTCTCTGATGTCACTTCATTCTTAGAATATTGAGTATTGAAGCCTAAAAAAAAAGAGTACCTATTTTAATCATGGGTTTCAGCACACTTTAACAGTAACTGATGAGAAAAAGGTGTGTTTCTGGATAGGACTGTCTAGGGCATGTTGTACCTCTGAGCTGGGAAGATGTGAGCATCGGGGCTCCCAACCTGTATCTTATGAAGTCAACACCAAGACACGATCTGCGTGATGTGATGAAGCTAAAAGAGAGAAGACGAGAGAAACATAGTCTGTTTCACCCTCCAGGAGGAAGTGCTAAAGGCCTTTTCATATGTGGAGTGTCAACCTGCACCAAAAGTGTGTGGATTCGAAACCAAGAAGCAAATGAGAGTAACAACATTGATACTGGCACCATTACCAAGAAACAAGCAGGGACATTAGGATTTAAAAAGATGATTGAACCTATTTAATAGCAAAATATGAGATGTGGTCTAGGTAGTCATCGCAGGAAAATGCATAGCTTTAAATGAATTAGTTAGCTAAGGGAAATGGATGCAAAAGTATGGTCAACTCAAGGTGGGGGAAAATAACTTAAATAAGGAGATTAGAGGAAGGTAGAGAGAAAGAAATATTTTTGAAATGGGAACATTACACATAGTTGATAAATAATTCTAAGAAGCGGCTTCTCAGAAAAAGAGATGAGAGAGATCTCACTCTAAAAAAGTGAAGAAACAACAGTGCAAGTTAAAAATGAGTGAAGGAGCCGGCGCCGTGGCTCAATAGGCTAATCCTCCACCTTGCGGCGCCGGCACACCGGGTTCTAGTCCCGGTTGGGGCGCCGGATTCTGTCCCGGTTGCCCCTCTTCCAGGCCAGCTCTCTGCTATGGCCAGGGAGTGCAGTGGAGGATGGCCCAGGTGCTTGGGCCCTGCACCCCATGGGAGACCAGGAAAAGCACCTGGCTCCTGGCTCCTGCCAGGATCAGCGCGGTGCGCCGGCTGCAGCGGCGGCCATTGGAGGGTGAACCAACGGCAAAGGAAGACCTTTCTCTCTCTGTCTCTCTCTCTCACTGTCCACTCTGCCTGTCAAAAAAAAAAAAAAAAAAAATGAGTGAAGGCGTTTACAAATATAGAGGGGACTGGGGAAAAAATGAAATTTGTCTTCCAGTCCACTTTAATGATTTTTAAAAGCTGGGGGAAGTGAACAACTTACAAAGAATGCAAATCTTATCAAAGAATAGCAAGATAAATAACAAAAGGGAAAATTAGCAAAGTCCTCAGAGAATCCATTTTCTCACTAAGGGTCTAGCCCTAGGCAGTTTTGTGAATAAACTCTTTTTAGGATTTAGCAAAAACTCCTTTGCTATTTAAATTGCTCCTGTGCATAGAGAAAGAAAGAAATCTATCTAATCTGTCTTAAGAAGCCAGGATCACATTAAATGTGGAACTGCTCAGAGAGTGTCTCT